GAACCATCTGAGCATGATTGGGGTAAATACAACTGATGCTGCTGCTGGTGGCAATGGAAGGAGTTTGGTTCTCTTGAAGGCTTGCTGTGGCAGGTAACAGTTTCCTAAATTAAAATGAGAGAGATACCACTATTCTGTTAAACATAAAGTTGCCTCTGATTTTTCCTTAGAATAATGATTAGTTGCTCATTCCAGTTGCCCTTCTGCTCCACTTCAATTGCGACCGTCTTCCCTGAACAAAAACTTCTAAGTAAATGTGAGAATGAGTACTACATCATAGATGGAACAAAAATATACCTTGTCCAGGTCGGTTAAATGTAATGTCGCCTCTGATTTCCCCGTTGAATAAGATTAGTTGCTCATTCTAGATGACCTTCTGCTCCACTTCAATTGTGACCGTCTCTGTGAACAGAAATTTCCCCATGGAATCCTAGAAGGGAACTTGAGAATGAGTAACATCATAGATGGAACCAGAATATACCTTTCATGTAGGTTAAATGTAAAGTTGCCTCTGATTTTTCATTGGAATATGGTTATTAGTTGCTCATCCAATTGCCCTTATGCTTCACTTCAATTGTGACCTGTCTTTCGCATACAGAAATGGCTCCATGGAGTCCTAGAAGGGAACTTGAGAAATGAGTATATTACATCATAGATGGAACCAGAATATACTTTGTCAGTATTGGTTAAATGTTAAGTTGCCTCTAATTATTCTTTGGAATAAAATGATTCGTTGCTCATTCCAGTTGCCGTTCTGCTTCACTTCAGCTGTGACCGTCTTTTTGTAAACATAAAGCTCTCTTTGTAATCTTAGAAGGGAACTCTAGATGATCGACCCAGAAGGTATTCCATCCATTCGGCTTAGTGTTTGCCTATTAATAAAATGCCCGATTACTCATTCTTGTTGCATTTTGTTCCACTTATGATTTGTCCCTTGTTACGTGGCTTTCCGAAAACTGAAAATTATTCTTGAATGGTGTGCAAAAAGGCAACTTGAGACCGAACAGAGATGGACCCAAAAATTATCTGTCCATGTTAGTTAATACTGATCTGAAAGTTGGTTCTGGTTTTCCCCGATAATTCAGGTGATAATAACTACAGTATCGGTCTCTTTATAGAAAATATATACATTGATAGAAGACATAGTCCCATTTCTTTTCACATGGATGTCCTGTAGGGGGAATGTGAGAATGAGTACTACTTACTGTATTGGTATTTCATACCAAAATAAGCCAACTCCGAAAATTTTGTTCATATCGATATCGTTCTCAGTTGCCTTAGGTAATGATTACTGCTTCATGGATTTAGTTCAATTTGGTTTTGCTAATCCTTCATCCATTCCCTCTGTCTTTATTCTATAAATCGAGGACTGGAATAGAAGTGAAAAGGAACCGGTTTTTCTGCATTTGCTCATTTCAATTCGTTGTTGCTTATAAGTTACAACTTAGTTCTATAAGCATGTCCAGTTGGTGAGAGAGAGGGGGGGGGGGGGGGGGGGGGGGCAAGAAGAATGAAGGAAGCAAGATAATGGTGCTAGATAGTATAGGATCCAGGGTTTGCCTAGATGGTCAAGTTGGTATCCAGGTTTTAGTTTCAGGTATGACTTTTCTACTCCTTAATCTCTCCTTAACTCACACCCCTCACTCTGCATTTTGTGTTCCATACTTATATTCGGTTGATCCCTAAAAGAATTTTTATTTTGTTTAAGTCTACCTACCATTGTTGGGGCGTTCCGTAATTGTCGTGGGTTCCTCACTTTCATTACATCAATGTGGATTGCCTCGTGAAATAGTAATCGAGCTTTGTTCACTTATCAATGTTATTTAATCACCACTTCAGTAGAAAGTGGCATCAAACCATGGTAGCGGTGATTCATAAATTGAATTTGAAGCATCCTTTGTGATTCTGAACCCTTGTTCTTGGTAAATCTTAGAGGTGTCCATAACTGTGTTTGTTAGCATAAATGACAATTCTTTCTAATCAACGGTAGTGACGTACAACTATACAAGTGTTGTGATTGGTAGGTAGCTCAACCTCCTACTGATTCTCACTCGTGTGTAATCTATAGATTTCAGTTGTGTGGAATCGGCGGTGACGGGTGGTGCTTTTCGGTCACCCCCCTATTTTTTACTGTGATTCATGAAGGTTCTACTGCTTTCTGCAAATTAAAGCCCCCATTGAGTGTCCCATAAAGAAAATGACATAATCGTTGCCTTGGTTATTCAGTCTTTGTCCTTTTGACTCACTGTATGCTTGTTGGAAACAAGATCCTGATCACTAACTTATGACCACTTCTGCCTCACTATCGACATGATCATTTACTAATTCTAGTTGCCCTGCTGCTCCCATGAAATCCATTATTAACTGAAAGTTCATTGTGGAGTCCTAGAAGGGAATTTAATAATGAGTACTATACCATCTCTATACCCTGGAAAAACATTGTCCATCTCTGTTTAGTGGCTACATGAAAGTTGGGTCCCGGTTTCCCTTGCAATAAGATGGTTAGTTACTCAATCTTGTTGCCCTGCTACTCCACCTAGACTTATCAGCTGTGAAAGCGTTTCATATTCAGAAAGTCATCTGTGGAGTCCTAGGAGGGAACTTGAGAATGAGTATCATCATATATAGAATTGAAAAATGCCTTGTCCGTTGTCGGTTCAATGCTTATAATAAGATGATTAGTTACTAATCTAGTTGCCTCTCTGCTCCACCTTGTATTCATCAATTGTGACTGTGTTTCGAAAACAGAAAGTACTTTATGGAGTTCTAGAGGGGGAACTTGAGAATGAGCATCATCATAGATTGATCCGAAATTTACCTTGTCCAATGTCGATCCAATGCTTATACAAAAGTTTGGTCTAGTTTTGCCTTATATGATTAAAATATTGGTTACTCATTTCAGCTACCCTTATGCTCCATCTCAGTTGTGATCATGTCTCGTTAGCAAAAGGTACTTTGTGGAGTCCTATAATGGGACTTTATAGCGAGTACTCCATCATAGCGAAAAATACCTTGTCTGTGTCGGTAACTGCTTCCTCCTGCAGTTGATGCTGAAAATTCAGCTCCCTGGTGCTTTCCCTTCTATCCTATCTAAATCTCAATGTAGTTTGTCTATTAATATAGGTGAGCAACTAAACTGACTTGGAGTTTAATCAAATTAAACATGGGTTGGCTGGTTCCTTAAGCTATCAATTGTGTATGTATTTTTCCTTTGAGAAAGCAAATGTTGGTCTTATAGTCAAGTCCCATTCCCCCTCTGTTCGATCCTGTTATGTGGAAGCCCTAAATCATCTTATGGTGAACTTTTCAATAACTAATAATGATCAAGTCAATGCTTGATAATGATTCTGTTTGAGAATGATAACTAATGTTCTAAAGTGGAATTTTGGAGCCGCGAGGCGCTCGTCTAGTGGTTCCATTTACTCCTCTGCTCCATTTCATATTCTTAAATTGTGAAGGGTCTTGTTGAATGGTCTTAATGGAGTACTAAGGGAGAACTTTTGAGTAATTAAATGATAGAGAAAATACAGTAGAACACTCTTAGAAATGGTATCCTTCAGGGGCTCGTTTCGTGGCCAGTTGCTTCTCTGCTCCACTTCATATTCTTAAATCAGCAAGGGTCTTATTGAATGGTCCTAGTGGAGTCCTAGGGGAGAACGTTGGAATTATTTTATGATTGAAAAAAATAATCCATAACACTCTTGTTTGGGACAAAATGAATACACTCATGACAGTTGTACGCTATTCCATCTCACAATTCGGCTGGTTGTTTACTTATTACAGTTGCTCTTTTGCTTCAATGAAGGGTATGTCTCAAATGGAGACTAGAGGGGAAACTTAGATTGATATTGAAAGAGAAAAAAAATACATTGAGACACAGGTTGTTTGTGAAAGTTAATGATTAGAAGTAGTGTCCCTTGTTCCAATTGCCCTTCCGATCCATTTTAAATTTACTAATTAGGGGAGGATTTTTATAACCGAGGCCTTAAGAGGGTTCAAGAAATGAACTTTGTTATGAGCAAACGATGTGAGAGTACCTTTGATGGATAAATCGAGTTGTTGCTATGAAAGTCTGTGACCCCGTCGTGCCTTGGTATAAGATATATCATCTACTGCTCCAGTTGCTGTATGAGTCGCGTAAGGTCAATCCATTATGGTTGTATTATGTTACTGAAAGGCTCAAGTTGGAGTCGTAAGAGGGAGCTCGGTTAGTTCGCATTGCCTTGCTTTCCTTTTGTGACTTTCTTTGATACATGCCTATGGGGTCCTAAAAGGGAACTGTGGTCCTAGTTGCCCATCTGCCTCGTCTACTGCTCCAGTTGATGTATGAGTCGCGTAAGGTCAATCCCTTAGCTTAAGCAGAATTGTTATTATTCTTGTGCGTATGTCCCACAGTTATCCCGGTTCAGGTTATTATCAATAGGTTATTAGAAGGCAATCATTGATTCCTGGATTTCCCTCCAGGCTCTTCTTTCTATACATATCAGTTTGCCACTGCTCCTAGGTTGCCTTCGATGCTTGTTCTTGTTTGGAAATGCAGCTTTTTACTTGATGCCTCGCTTGACGGTTGACTTAGTATGATAAAGGTCTCCTCACAAGGGTGATTGGTTAGGTGAATATTGTGTTTGTGGATGGATAACAGAATGAGTGTCTTTGTCTCACAAAATGTTTTGGTGCCAATTATGGGGTAGAATGTCAACTATTTCTGCATTCTTTGTGTAAGATAACTTTTTCAGACTTTGTCTCGCAAAATGCTTCGTCTTGCAGCCGATGCTAAAAATTCAGCTCCACGGTGCTTTCCCTTGGTTTGCTATTTATTGTTGTTGCCTACAAGTCAGATTTTTGTTTTATATGAGAATTTATCTCTCCATGCAGACAAGTTTTCATTTTAAAACAACTGTCTCTTGAACAACCATGAGTTTCAGCTATGATTCAGGTGGCCTATTATTGAAAATAGCTAACTTTGAGGTCTTGTGGCACAAGCTTTTGCCCCCTTTTTAATGATCATTCTGATTAGGACCATAAAGTAAGCCCTACCCAGTTGCTTAAGACATGGTGAAGAGACCTGCAATATACTATGATAGTGGTGGTTTGGGAACAGAATGATGAATGTCATTCAAAATGAATTGGTTTACTCACAGGTGTCGGGTTTATATTTTCCCAGGCCTAACAGTCTTCCCTCCCGGCTCACGAGGTAAAGCACCGTTGGGAGCTCGAAGCTGCCATAGGGATTGTGGAGCACGCTTGTCGCATCTGTTTGAGGTAAAATTTCGATTCCGGTTCTGCTTCTCTTTTAGCATATGATTGGTTCGTGTAATCCAAGGAGGAATTTTTCTTTCTTTGAAATTTCTTCGATTGCATTGAACAGGTGCACAGTTCCATGCGCTCTAGTGAAGCAGTGTCTGTCAAGAAGAGCGACTGTACTCCAGTCACCATCGCAGACTTTGGTGTTCAAGCTTTCGTCATTTTCGGTAAGTCTACTCTTCTTGACAACGGAAGTGGAATTGGGTTGAACTTGTTCTCAAGACCTTTTGACGATTCATAATTCTTGTGTAATTTCGTTCAGAGTTCTTGTGTCATTTGATCTTAGGATCCTAAAGTATTAGATACGGTTCTTCACATTGTTCTTTATTTGACAGAGCTACATCAAGCTTTCCCTGATATTCCCTTAGTTGCTGAAGAGGACTCTGGGTTCTTGAGGGCAAATAACCTGGTCGATTCTGTGGTCGGTTCTTGAGGGCAAATTTCCTAGTGATTTCTTAATGATATATATATCTGCCGATAAATATTAGGTGGGTTTGGCACTTGTGGTTGAAGGGCAGAATTTGTTAGGTGTTATGGGCTGCCCAAACTAGGTCGATTCTGAATCCTTTCAATTCATTACAGGGGCCAACAATGCATTAAGTAGGGCAGGGATTGTAATGACTGCTCATATTGGTTGTGGGACCTGGAGAAGGAGGTTTCAAGATGACCGCCAGAGTGGATCAGCTGAACCATCCGACCATGATTGGAGTAGATGCTTTGTTGACTGAAGTCTGTTAGCATCACAAGCACGATTTTGCATTACAGATAGTGCAACTTGGCAATCATTGCCTTTGTCGCCTTTCTTTAGTACAACAACTGATGCTGCTGACGATAGCAGTAGAAGGAGTGTGGTTCTCTTGAAGGCTTGCTGTGGCAGGTAATGGTTTCCTTCTTTAAAATGAGAAAGATACCACTGTTCTGCTATCTGCAGTCTTAACAAATTCCACATTGTTTTCCTCGGATCTCCAGTTTATCCAGGTATATTATGGTGGCTTCATTCTGCTAGTGAAACCACTGATATCAACCAAGGTAATATTCTTTTCATTCGAAAAAAATGAAAACTGAAAGCCTTCCAGTTACTTCTTTAATCCTTGGACTCCTTTCTCACAATGTAGGTGTGGGATCATGCAGTTGGGTTGATATGCGTTCATGAAACTGGTGGGGAAGGTATTTGTAATTGTCACCACCACTATCTCTCGGTCAAACTACATGCATAGTCACCAAAGTTTAGGTCTTTATTTTTTTTCCTCATGTTTAAGGCGGCTATCCATTCTTGTGTTCTTTGATTTGGTTTTAGTCCTTCTGCAGGTGACTCATTGGGCAGGGGCTGACCTTAACCTTGAGAGGATGGTGTGGAGCAAAGGATCTTATATCCTTAAGTTGGAGTTCTTGCGACCAGTGACAAGATCCACTACTAGATCGTGGAGATGATTTCTGTAAGTTCATCCACTGGATGAGCCCTGGTCGTTTTGGTAAGTCTGTTGTCCATGACACAAACTGTAATTGTCTCATTCATAATCACTAGTTTAGTTGAATTTGGTTTTGTTAATCCTTCATCGACCCCTCTGTCTTCATTGTGTAGACTGAGGACTGGAGTAGAAGTTAAAAGGAACTGTTTTTTCTACATATTCTCATTTCGATTCGATGATGCTTATAAGTTACAACTTAGTTCTACAAACATGTCGAGTTGATGAGGGGGAATGAGTGAACAAGAATAATAAAGGAAGCAAGATAATGGTGCTAGATAGCATAGGATCCAGGGTATGCCTAGATGGTCAAGCTTGTACCCAGGTTTAGGTTTCAGGTATGACTCTTCTATTCCATAATCTCTCCTTAACTCACACCCCTCAGTCTGCATTTTATGTTCCATACTTTTATTGGGTTGATCGTTAAAGAATTTTATTTTGTTTAAGTCTACCTCCAATGTCGGTTCACTTATCAATTTTATTTAATCATCCGTTTAGTAGAAAGTGGCATCAAAGCTTGGTAGCGCTGGTTTATAAATTGCATTAGAAGCATCCTTTCTGATTCTAAATCCTTGTTCTTGGTAAGTCTTAGAGGTGGCCATAACTGTGTTTGTTAGCATAACTGAAATTCTTTCTAATAAACGTAGTGACGTACAGCTGTACAAGCAAAGTGTCGTGATTGGTAGGTAGCTCAACCTCCTACTGATTCTACACTCCTGTGTAATCTGTAGATTTTGACTGTGTGGAATCGGCGGCTAGGGGGGGTGCTTTTGGTCACCCCCCCCCCCCCCTATTTTTTACTGTAATTCATGAAGGTGCTACTGCTTTCAGCAAATTAAAACCCCTATTGAGTGAGTGTCCCGTAAAGAAAATGAGATAATTGTTGCCTTGGTTATTCGGTCTTGGTCCTTTTGACTCATCGTTTGCTTGTTGGAAGCAAGGTCCTGATCACTAACTTATGACCGCTTCTCGTTTGCTTGTTGGAAGCAAGGTCCTGATCACTAACTTATGACCGCTTCCGCCTCACTATTGACATGATCATTTACTCATTCTAGTTGCCCTGCTGCTCCCCTTGAAATCCATTATTAACTGAAAGTTTATTGTGGAGTCCTAGAAGGGAATTTGAGAATGAGTACTATATGATAGATATACCCTGAAAAAACATCGTCCATGTCTGTTCAGTACCTATATGAAAGTTGGGTCCCGGTTTGCCTTGCAATAAGATGGTTAGTTACTCAATCTTGTTGCCCTGCTGCTCCACCTGGATTCATCAGCTATGAAAGTGTTTCATATTCAGAAAGTAATCTATGGAGTCCTAGGAGGGAACTTGAGAATGAGTATTATCATAGATAGAACTGAAAAATACCTTGTCCGTTGTCGGTTCAATGCTTATTATAAGATGATTAGTTACAAATCTAGTTGCCCTTCTGCTCCACCTTGTATTCATCAATTGTGAGTGTTTCGAAAACATAAAGTACTTGATGGAGTAGAGGGGAACTTGAGAATGAGTTGAGTATCATTATAGATTGATCCGAAAAGTATCTTGTCCAATGTCGGTTCAATGCTTATACGAAAGTTTGGTCTAGTTTTGCCTTATATGATTAAAATATTGGTTACTCATTCCAGCTGCCCTTCTGCTCCATCTCACTTGTGATCATGTCTTGTTAGCAAAAGGTACTTTGTGGAGTCCTAGAATATAACTTTATAACGAGTACTCCATCATAGCGAAAAATACCTTGTTTGTGTCGGTAATTGCTTCCTCGTGCAGCTGATGCTGAAAATTCAGCTCCCTGGTGCTTTCCCTTGGTTTGCTATTTCTTGTTGTTGCATACAAGTTGGATTTTCATTTTAGATTACTGTCTTTTGAACAAGCATGAACATCAATTATGATTCGGGTAGCCTAGTATTGGAAATAGCTTAGAAGTTTGAGATTTCTTGTGGCAAAAGCTTTTGCCCTCTTTTTAGTATTAGGACCATAAAGTAATCCCTACCTAGTTGGTTAAAACATGGGGAAGAGACCTGCAATACACTATGACAGTAGTGGTGTGATGGAGCTGCTGATGGTTTACTACTCTTCTACTACTATCCTATAGGATAGCTGACTTGCCCACTGAAATTAATATGTTAACGTGGATCGCTGGCTATACTCTGCATGTTGGATTGTCATTGTCTTGGTTTTGTTGTTTGCATTGGAAATCTTGGAAGGGAGCCTGATTCTGGTATGATTTTGTTCTGAAAACTAATTATAAGCTTGATGTGATGATGTGATCTAAGGAGAGAGGATGGTGAAGCAAACAATGTGTTTTCTGTTGCCTCCTATCACTCATATTCTTTCACTGTTGTTGCTGATTCTGCAATTGGAGGTACAAGGAAATGGTAGGTTACTAGCTTGGCTGCTACACCTCTTCAGTTTTGGGGGGTGATGTTTCATGAGTTACTTGGTACAATATTTTTATAATGATGGGTATTTTCAGCTGGTAAGTTTGTCAAATTCATGAGAAATCTCAACAATTGAAGGGGGTTTGTTATAATCTGAATGCATTTCAGCTTAAGGAACAGCTGAATTATTCCATCTTGAATGAACACCATTTTAGGGCGGAAGATTTGTCCTTTTTGGCTTCTATCATGTTGCATGCCCAGCGGGCTAATGTTTGTAATATACATGGAGAGCTTTCCTGCTTATATGCATGTCGATAGCATGGGGGAACTTGTGCAAAACTGTTAAGGATGGATCTGCCCTACTCTTACCACCCAGACATGAGTTAGGTACTCATACATGGGATCTTCAGATGGTGCAGAAAGGGCTACTGAGTTTTAAGTTTTCATCTCATCTGCTGCTCTATTAAATGTTTGGTGTGTACGTTATCCCGATGCTATTTTTAACCTGTTGGTATGCACGCTTCTGCTATAATGCCTCTATGCTTTCTAGTGTAAAGATTAAGGAAGATGAGCTACCATGGCTTTCTTGTCCATTTTCGTCAGGTGAAAACAATTTTGTTAATCTGTCAGTGTTGTGATTGGATCCTGAACCCTCTGATAGTGCAAAGCCTTCCCTCCTGGTGTCATGTTGCTTTTCCCTCGTGTCATTGTAAGTTGCAAAGTAGCAGGAAAGCTGGCAGCAAATGTTATGTCCTTCGTAAACAAGAATTGCAATGCCGACTATGTACAATCTTTCGTCGTGTCACTTGTACTATTATTGTGCACGTTCATAATTGATAGATTCATTTGAGTTTGGTTCGACACAAAAAATCCATTGATAATGTTAGTCTATCAGAGTATGTAGTCTTTTTTACCATCAATTTAGGTCAACTTACCGTTTATTTAGACAGCATGAGTGAATCAGTCCAATAGAAGTTGGGAAAATGATATAGCTTTGTAAATAATTTGAGGTTGTGACTATTGGTTTAAATTAAATGGCTGAATAATAATTGTTTGTGACCAGTGGTTTGGTTACCACTTCTGTAAATTTACCCAAAAAGAACCGCGGGAGTTGGATGGCCAACCCGAAGAAGAACAAACAAGGTTGTCAACCCACGGGCTGACCCGGACCCGATTGAGCTAGTGGGTTAAGGGTTAATGAGTCATCCGATTTAGTCCAGAAATATGAACAAAGTCATTATATTGTACTTATCCTGATAAATTATATCAAATCTCATCTAAAGAAGTCATTAGCTTGATGAGCTCATGCCCTTCATAACAGTGCATATACTGGTATGCTTGTGTTCCTCTGGTCTTGTGAGTTGTTAATGAGTCTGTATCTGTCGACAAATATTAGGTGGGTTTGGCACTTGTGGTTCAAGGGGAGATTGTGTTAGGTGTTATGGGCTGCCCAAACTGGGACGATTCTGAATCCTTCCAATTCATTACAGGGGTAACCAGTGCATTAAATAGAGCAGGAACTGTAATGGCTGCTCATATAGGTTGTGGGACTTGGAGAAGGAGGCTTCAAGATGGCCGCCAGAGTGAATAAGCTGATCCATCCTTCCTTCAATGATTGGAGTAGATGCTTGGTTTTGACGGGTGTCTGTTAGCATCCCAAGCACGTACGATTTGGCATTACAGATAGTGCAACTTGGGAATCATTGCCTTTGTCGCCTTTTTTTAGTACAACAGCATCAGTTCCTTGATCGTGTTTAAGTGTGTGCTTCAGGTAGCACTGGAAATAGCTGTGGGTTACCTGTTGTAGTCAATTGCTTACCTAGAAACGAAGTTAGACTCCTCTTTTCCATTCTTTGATACAAAATGTCGTGGCTTTTCTGTTGCCTGTGATTCTTCACACTTTTAATGGCTGGCATTTGCGTGGGAGTTGGAACAGAATGTGGTTTGGGAGGCTGATCTTTACTTTGGTTAAGATTTAAATTATGATATGGTTAGAGAGGAGCTGGTGGGGAACCGGCAACTGGTCACGATCGACGGCGGCGGCCAAACGACAGGCGTCCAAAAGGAATTTTGCCGCCTTCAGTTCTGAGAGGGAAGGGGAAAAGGAAACGTCAAAGGGCATGGGGCTTGTCTGTTTACTCTCGAATCACTGCCAGCCACGTGGAAAGAGGCCAGACTTACGATTAGTCACTTTCGCCGGCTGCCGGTGACTGACAGCCCGGCGCCACCAATATGATAGTAGTTAAAAAAAAAAAGAAGGGGGAATCTGGTGCGGCAGCTCTGCTCCTGCTCTGCTCTGTTCCTCTCCGTCTTCTGTTTCCTCCTCGTGATGGATTGGATATGTGAATGAAAGAGATGAGGAGCTTCGTCGGCAACTGAATCCGTGCCGCAATGGTACAGTACATATTGGGTTGGGGGATTTCTTTTTATTTACCGTTGACGGTAGTAGTTAGGGCGTCGTAAAAACAGTAGTTCATATTTCATAACCGGAAAGAGCATCCTCGAACGCGTTTTTGTTGTTGAAACTAGGACACAAATCTTGTTCAAATCTTATCTATGCCACGCCAATGCATCGTTCAACTCATGACTAAGAAATTACGTAAGATTTGTTATCAGGATTGTTTTAATTTAGCATCTCCAACTTTATACATCGCTCCACCACGATCTACCAATGATTATTTATCCTCATGAACGTATTAATACAGCCGATTGTGTTGTGTATCTTTGATGAAATTCATTGTCATCATATGACTCGTATCGTATGGTCATTATAATCGGTTCGGTTATAACTACAACTGTTATTGATTGATCATTTTTATTGATCGTTAACTACTACATCACTTATATTAGTTGGTGACCCGTAATCGTATACTCAATTATGAGTTATTATGTTGGTCACCCGATTAATCGGTTAGCAAGTGATTCAACAAAGAATACACCAACCTAACTGATAGGTAACTGAATCAACAAAAGTCTTGTTTTTCTTCTTCTTCCAATTGTTCATTTCAGTAGATTTTCCCTACATATGTAAGTGCTCTTTTTTTATAATTTATAATTGCTTTAGGATTGATTTGTTATTCCTATATGGCATTGAGAGAATAAAACAAAGAGAGGAAGGAAAAGAGAAGAGTAATGAGTGCGAACTGGGATGGAAGAAAATGGGGCACGATTTTTGCTTGTCTTTCCTCAAACATAACTAATATGATCTTCTCAATAGTCAATTCAATTTTGATGTCTATATTTCAATTGCAAAATCGACGATGCTTTTTTCTGTTTCAATTTTAGGGTTCACAAGTGGAGAAAATTGGAGAAAGAAAAAGAGGGTCGGGGCGGGAAGGAGGTTGTTTGTTCGAAATTCGAGAAATTTTTTTCAGAGTGAATGACATAGTCGTTTTGGCAGAGTAAAACATAGTAATTTATATTAGGATAGTTTTTGGTTAATAGTTACGCAGTATTCGATTATCGGTTACTCCAAAAAAATCATTTCAATCTATTACCAACCGCAACACCAACAAGTTTTCTAGATTAAAAATGTTGGGAGCAACAGGATTTTTGGTTAATAGTTGCGTAGGATTTTGTTTTCCTAGCTTTTTTCACAAAAATTGGTTTCAGCCATCGTTTTCGTTGTTCAATTGTTTGCTGTTCACTCGTGAAGTTCTCTTGTTGTGTTCTGTCTTACATGTTTCGCCAACCTTTTTTCTTACCATCTATTTGTTTGGGTTTAATCAGTTACTGATTAGTGCTTACCCTCAATTACATTTTTCACATTTCGATCTTTGTCCAAGTACTTGGTATACATTTCCTTCTTAATTATGATGTAAAAAGAGTTACAACTTACTTTCTACATCAATATGCCATCTCAAATATTATATATGTTCTCATGGTTTCTGCTTGAAATTTAAGTTGCTTCTCAAAATTATTGATTATCACTTATAGCTTGTGGTAATCACATGTCTTAAGTGTTCATGTCACCAATTATTTCATCTCGTTCATGATTCGAGCCATTTTTATATGCATTTATATTTATATTTTGTTGTTGGACTTGTGTAGCAATGTCCTTGGAGTCATTTTATACTAGATTTTGTCATATTTTAGTGATATATGTGAGGTTATGTGAGGCGAGGACAGTCATTAATAACCTTTTTACAAGAGTTCTCATGCTTTTAACGATTGTTTTCTTTCTCTCGTTAATATCGTCTTTTTTAATGATAGTAAAGAAGTGGGCGGACAACAAATTAATGAGAGCATAAATGTGAATTTTGAACACTTGGATTCAATTTGTGGAGAGACACATTATGCACATAGATATATAGGATAATCATTATTTCATTAAGAAAGCTTCGTGGTCTACATATTAGGATAATCATAATCATTATTGCATAGATGTGAAGTGTTTCAAAAGGGACTTTAATTATATCTATGGTGGGTCGACAAATAATAAAGGTGACATGCCATGCACCTTAGTTTATGGGCGTGCTGTCATTTGCTAAAATAAAAGGTTTGTCGTTAGCCATTTGGTTTTGTATAATTTTGATATTTTTTTTATTCAAATGTCAATTATGGATCCATTTTATGTGTATGATTTTGATAGAAATTGATGATGGTCAGAGATGAAAATTTTGTAATAATCAACCAATTTAATCTATCGAAAGAATATCAAATTTATCGACCATAACATTCGATTAATCATATTCGTATAAATTCAATCCATTTGGATTAGTGGATTTCCGGATTGTTGGTAAATACTCTTTATTTTTTACAATTTCACACATACTTTTAGTTTTTAAATGAAAAATATCATCAGAAAATTAAATTTTGGTACCTAATTTTTTATTATTACATTTAGTACCTAAACTTTTTAAAATTGTCGCATTGTTCCATCAATACATGAATCCACCAATTCATTTTATCCAAATTCATGAATCCACTCTAATCAATGAATCCATGAATCTACCATTTGCCACCTTTAAACTAATGACGCTTATTATTATTATCTAAGTAATACGATGAGAGGTCGAGTTCATCACACTCATTTCAATATAAATGAAATGAACCACTTCGAATTAAATTAGCTAGCTAATAAGTCGTTGCATTATTACGATGTCTACATTACTTATATTCCTAACCATGCATATGAAAATAACGATAAACTGAACTGTTATTAGATTTTTCTTACTAAGAGCGTAAGTACATATTTAATTATTTATAGATGTAAAACTAATCACTCTCCTCTACTAACCAATTCGAAACCTTCTCCTAATCCCAGACCAACTTAATTACTTTCTATGTAATAATAAACTAAACAACACTAAGATAATGCATAAATATTAATATGAAATTTCATGTTTAATTGTTTTAGCCAGTCTTGTTTTCTAGGATTTGTGTGCATGACCTAACCCAAAAGGGACATGGAACCAAACAATAATTGATCGGATTTTACGTAAAATTGTCTCTCCTAACTATATTCCGACCTGACCACCAAAGTTGACTCTTTTCTAGTAGAGTGTAGAATATTTATATGATACCGATGGGACGTATTTGTCAATAATGTTAATGGGTATTAACCAATTAAACAAAGTTACTCATAAGTAAATAAACAATTGATTAATGGTAATAGTTACTTTTTTCCTTATCTAAGTTAATGTAAATTGTAATTAAAAGGAATGCAAAGGTGAAAGGTGGGTTACTAAATCAAAAGAGGAATTAGTTAATAGTGTTTCTAGGCCTCCTTGCCTAACAAAAATCATGCATGGTGAGGTTAATTAACTACTAATTATTAATCAACACTTTCAAATAGAAAAATATGTGAATTGATTAATTAATACAAGGACGAGTAGCCGATTGATTCTGCTTTGAAAAAGTTTAAGAGGTCAATTAATTCAGCCGCCTGATTGACAATGACTTGTTTTGGTTTTGTATAATTATGCAGTCCAACATTCAATAGGCTCCAAATCCACAAATTTATAACTCGTCCTACCAAAAAAAAAAAAAAAAGACATGTTTCGATTAAATGAATTGTTTTCTTATTTCAAGTTACCCAGTAATTGATTGAACTGCATGCTTTGATATGGTCATATTATATTTATATTCAATCCAAATATTGAATATTGTTGTACATCTTACTGCTTAATTCGTAATTTATCTGTAAACAGAATTAATATTTGGCAATGTGATAAATTAATTGGTGTCAATGACTCGAGAGTTGTTGGAAAATGTTGGTTATGAATTTCATACCACTACTCCACACCCTTCCAAGTTCAAACGAAGACTAGTCACATGCTTGAAGTTCGTACATGCCTACCACACCTTGTGATTAATTCAAGTGTTAAATTGTGAGTCGTGGAGATTTGAACACACGACCCATTTGATCAAACCAATTTTGATACCGCGTAATAAATCAATTGATCTCAAATACTTGAACTTATGGGAAAATGTTAATTATGGATCTGATAAAAAAAAGAGATATGATATAGTATATATATGTTAAAATAAGCTTTGATATGTTAAAGAAAAAAATGTATTCGTGTTCATTCATATGACATAGTGTAATTAAGAGTCCACCGCACTGTACAAGTTGACTATTGACTGGACTAGTCTTATCTTACGAATATGATCACTAGAACAGTGACTGTGCTACGTTGCAGATGGTGGGAGACCATGGTGACATTTAGGGGTGGAAATCGGTATAGTATCGGTATCCCAATACCAAATACCGAAATTCCGAATATTGAATTACACTCAAAAGTCAATCTCAATCTCAATCCCTAAATAATTTTGGTATCCCAATCCAATCCCTAAATATTCCGGTATCCCAATCGGTACTTCGGTATCCCAATCGGTATTATCGAATACCAAATTAATTATATTTGAATTAAATAATTAAATATATAAATTAGATTTGATTGTTTAATTTAGAGCAAAGAGACTAAGCGAAGAGTCTTGAGTTTGTCTATAGCTAGGATATGGATAAGGAGAATGAAGGAGAGGTGACATCTCAAGTTCTTGTCATTGATAATCTTTAATTTGACGAATTGGAGACTGAGAGACGACTAATACTAGTGTTTGCTTTTTGGGGTTATGAAAATAACAAGTGATTAGGTGAGAGATGAGAGTGACTTAAATTGGAAAGTCATAATTGAGTTGGATGGGGACTTCTGAGTTGTAAAACAAAGATGGAATGATATACGTATAATTAAATGACACTCTTAGTGGTTGAGGGTCGTGTAGTAGTGAATGAGAGAATCTAGTTGAGAGGATAAAATACACACTAGCTTATATTTCGGTATTGATCGGTATTTCGGTATATACCGGTCCCAATCCCGTAATCCCTAATAACGAATTACAATTGAAATTCAATCCCAATCACAATCCCAATCCCAAGAAATAATATGTGTATTCGGTAATACCAAATATAGACAAATTCGGTACGGTGTTCGGTTATCCCAAATACAAGTACCAAACTTCCAGCCCTAGTGACATTAGCTTCAATTTTGCATTTACATTACTTATATTAAATTTTCTATTGATTAAGATTTTCAACCCGTGGGTTTATCCATGGGTTAATCCATTTTGATCCTAACCTGGTGTGAAAAATGTGTGCCACACACATGCTGGTCGACTTGCAGCAAAATTCTTGGTTTGTAGGTCACACAACGTTGTTTTTTTGTTTGTTTGTGAAATGTGTTTTTTTCTCTATAATATTCAAGTAAAAACTGTAATTTGGTGTAATATTATATGTTATTGCTCGATGAAATTTAATATAATTTATAATTGTATAAATAATATAATGATTTTTTCATATATCCAAGATAAATTGGTGACAAAACTCGGAGAAACAAATAAAACCATCATAAATGTTAATGGGCTTAAGCCAAACCAAATAATTTTGTTTGTGAATAGTAACGGGGATTTCCGTTTATATATATTAATTAATTAATACTTAGCTTGTTTATAATTTTGGAAAGTTCCTTTATTTTTGGATGTTCGGGTCAACCTGAACTTGCAAACCCACCGCCAGAGGCCTGTTTAGTATCATTTTGTTGCTGTTGTGGTTGCAGTGGTGTTGTGTAAACAGATGTACAACCACAACAGAAAAAAAAAACAGAAAACACAAACCTGTTTAGTTGATAAATCTGAAAAATCATGAAAGCTGACAACAAGAAACAAAAACGCGTTTAGTTACTACTATAAGAACTAAAAACCAGAAAAAGAGATATGTCCGCAATATTAAGCAAAGTCCAACCGATATTCACTGACCATCTACAATTTGTCCAACCGAAATTCATAGAACATTCAATACAAGAGCAAGTAAAATTAGAGCACACTTCTTAATGAGAGGGAACCCAATACACCGGAAGACTATACCTGAGCTACAACTGTGTGTGCTGGGAGGACGTCGGCGGGCTGGGCGGCTGCGGCGGGCGGAGACAAGGCGGCGCTGGGCGGAGGCGAGACGGCGCGGGCTGCGGCGGGCGGAGGCTAGACGGCGCGGGCTGAGGAGAGGCAGCATGGGCTGCGGCGCCCGGAGGCGGAGCGGCGCTAGGCGGAGGCAGAGGGGTCTCGCCGCATGGAGGCTGGGAGAAGAAGATGGGTGTCGGCTGTGTTTTGTCGAGAAGAAGAAGAAGATGGAAAAGAAAAGGGGCGGCTGTGTTCTGTCGAGAAGAAGAAGAAGATGAAAAAGGGGAAGTAGGGTTTTTTTTTGGGGGGGGGGCTGTGTTAAAAAAAAAGAAATTTTTTTGCTTCTGTGGGGATTCGAAAACTGGTCTGTTTTAATGAAATCAAGCGCCCAACCAGTAGGAATCCCGTGGTCACTAAAAATATTTAAATCCATTCGTGGTCACTAAAATTAGTTAAGTAATTCAAGTTTGGTCACTCTCCGTCCAATTCCGTTAACTTTTGCTTATGTGGCAGTCAACTCTTATAATTGACCGTTAAATGTGCCACGTGGCAATTAAAAAATAATATATATATAATATATAATATTTTAACATTTTCTGCTTATTATTACAACTATTAAAAAATAAAAATTACAAAATACATCATTCTTTTCTTCTAATCCCTATGCAGCTCAACCTCAACCCTACATCTGCTGCTTCACTCCCGCCGGCTACATCCCCCACGAGATCCCCCAATCTCAATCTCATCCCAAACCTTCAATCCCCTGTCGATCACCATACCCCCCTAAGGATGTCATCCTTATTAGAAGAGCATAAGTGAGCTCTGCCTTCTTCCCAGTGCCACTGTTGTCCACCAGTTGACCCAGACTCCGACGAGAGCACTGAGATCTCGATTCTATACCCAGTAAAACCCGCCTTTGACAGATAACTCTTTCCGTCTCGCAGAGAAACCCCAAACTAAAAATATAACTCAAACCACTTCTTTAGATATGTTCTAAATCTCCAGATATGCTAACACCGGCCTCGAGCTAATCGTCGGCCTGGGAAACGAATTCCTCAAAGACATCAGCCTCGGCGAGGACCGCGCCATGAACTGGATCAAAGAAAACGTCGAGCCTTACCTCCCCGGAACCAAAATCGTGGGAATCGCCGTCGGAAACGAAATCCTTGGCGGCACGGACATCGAGATCTGGGAAGCCTTACTCCCTTCCGTCAAAAACGTCTACGCCGCCCTCCAACGCCTCAATCTCCACAAGAAGATCGAGCTCTCAAGCCCTAATTCCGAAGCCGTCTTCGCCAATTCGTTTCCTCCTTCCGCCTGCATATTCCCACCCGACATCGCGGTGTACATGGTTCCATTGCTCCAATTCTTCTCCCAAATTGGATCCCCATTCTACATCAACGCGTACCCATACTTAGCCTACAAGAGCGATCCAGAGCACATCGACCTCAATTACGCAATTTTCCAGCCCAATTCGGGGATCTTCGACGCGAAGACGAATCTCCACTACGACAATATGTTCGACGCCCAGGTGGATGCGGCCTACGCCGCGCTGGAGAAGGCAGGGTTCGAGAAGATGAAGGTGATTGTTTCGGAAACAGGAAAAGAAGCGTACAAAAAATTTGGTTGCTCCTCCTACTTCTGTCGATCCGGATGGGACGATGATCCTGCAGGCGTCGAATTGGCAGGTTCTCGCTCCAGTTACCCGACGACCACGTTTTGGGTCATTGAAGAACGAAGCTTGAATAGGAGGGGAGGGAGCTTGTTCATTTTCATCGGCAGGGGACGGCGTCGAGAACTAAAATAATTTTTTTATTTTTTTATTTTTAATAGTTGTAATAGTGAGGTGGAAATTTAAAATAATAAAATTTATTTTTTTATTAATTTTTTAATTGCCACGTGGCACATTTAACGGTCAATTATAAGAGTTGACTGCCACGTAAGCAAAAGTTAACGGAATTGGACGGAGAGTGACCAAACTTGAATTACTTAACTAATTTTAGTGACCACGAATGGATTTAAATATTTTTAGTGACCAAACATGAACGTTTTTTATAATCATAGTGACCAACCCTGCAATTAACCCGAACATATATAGAATTGATGATTATATCATGATTAATCTTTTAAAAAAACTCAAATAAAGTAATTAGAGCAAAACACATGGAAAGGAGATCAAAGGAACAATGATTTCAATATGATGTGTTCTTGGATTCCCATAGAAATCTCTCAAGTGAAAGATGATTATGGCTGGTGTACATGTGAAACTTTCTTTTTCAACCATGTCAGGCCCTTTTATATATGTTTATTAGTTAATTAATTAATTAATTAATATGTGTAATGTGTGTGTGGGGTTGACGGAGATCCCATTTTCAAAACCCCAAATCATTGAAAGAATTAAAACAAGAACAAGACAAAAGTATTGCAATTTTTTAAATTCCCCACCATTTCCCTCCCTTTTCCCAATTCAAAGCAAATAATAAATTGCATAAAGAACGATCCCCACGACTATCTGCCTAATATTTTTTTTTTTATATAAGAGGGAGCCCATAACAAGAACCTCATCGAAAACATGAATTTAATAGGAACATGATGTAGAACCCTAATTAACCATTATTAAATAACCATGTTTCCTAACAATTTGCCATAGTGGTTTAGCTCCAACTTAAATGTATTCGCTATGCTTTACTTTGTTTGCATGTGAATTTTTGTTTTGTGGTTGGTGATTGATTGCTTCTCATCATTCTTTGGTTCATCTTCATAGTTGTAGATGATTATCATTATTGGCTAATTAACTAGTAGCAATATGGGTTTAACCTATTATTTGTCGGCGTAGCTTTTGTTCCTCGTTATCCTTGAGATTGAGAGAGGTCAGTCACTCTCACGAAATGGAAGAGAAGTACTCTTCGCAACGATATTCCGGGTTCATCATACCGGCGGCGTTCAAATGACTATGCTCAATGGAAAGTTAGCGCTCCTTTGGCTCAAAACTATAAATACGAATCTCGAGTACTATATGGACATTCCACTTAAGAGACCTCAATCAAACTTTTGAATAACCTTTAAGCATATGTGTAAGGTCTGTATCACTCATCAAAAACCTTGTATTCACCAAGGAATTTATTACTCCACACATCAGAAACTTCGTATTGGCCAAGGAATCTATCACTACACAAACAACAACGATCAAAGTCTCTATATACAAATTTCAATGTACACAAACGTATAGAAGTTAATTGTAGTTATATAAAATGTCAAGAAATAAATTCAGAGAATACTAAAAATGAGTTTCTATGATACGAAATCACAGAAACAACAAAATTTGAGGGCTATGTTAGACATAAAAAAAATTCACATTTAAAGTGAAATGCTTCAAAAAAGGAAGAAATGGTGAAAAGGGAGGTGGTGACCCCAAAAAAAAAACCCTACTTCTTGGTTGTTGGCAAAAACAAAAGTGGGTTAGTAAAGCTTTCCACCACCACCAATACACACATATCTCATCTTTAAAAAGAAGAGAATATATCAAGAAGAGAGCAGCTAACTATATAGCTAGCTAGCTTACATAGTTGACTCAACTTCAACTAACAGTCAATGCACCTCTCATCACACATTACAAAACATTGGTCTCACACTTAATTATATATGTCATATATATATCCATGCTATAATTATTTGGGTTAAAGAACAACTCACTAATCACTTAATTATAGGCTTAACCTTTTAGTAAAACAGCCTATGAAGCATAACTAATCACCTACCTAACCTCACTTTCACTTTCTCCTTGGTTAAAAAATGGAAAACGGTACACTACTGCTCTTACTAGCTAGCTAACTTTCTTGGACCAACCGATCGAATCCCAAGTCACTATAGTCCATACATAATCAAGAGTTTCATGAGCTATATTGTATATGCATGTGTAGATAATTAATGTGGATTATTGTTTTGCTAGGTTATACCCAACTAGGACTCCAAATTGACCGAACTGTTCTGCTCACGCGGCTCGACGTTCAGTTCGGGAAAAACTCGTTCGATGCTTGATTCGGTTACTATTGAGTTGAGTTTAAACTAAACCTTACTCGGGCGGCTGCTCGTTACGGTGGTTGGTTGAGCTCAACTTCTGAGCTGGTTCATTTTGAGCTATAAGGTGACTCAACAGTATGGCTAGAGCTAGTCACCTCAACTTGCAGCTTATGACGAGATCGATTAATAGCTTATATCATGGATTGTTGATAATTAATAGGTTTGTTAGATTATATATATATATCATCACATATGATGTTTAAGAATTTGAGCATGTGATCAAATATGTCTCATTTATAATTTATAAGAGAAATTATGTATCATAGATTGCTCAGATACTAATTAATATTAAATAACACAATATAAATAATTAAAAATTATAAACTAAATTAAATTATATGATACCTTAACTCGAGCCGATATTGGAATCTAATTGATGAATCGAGCTCAAGTCAAACACAATTTGCTTGATATTTTAGTAAACAAGTCGAGCTCGAACGTGACTAGTTTTTTAGCGAGTTAAACTCAAATTAAGTCAAATCTCAACTCGACTCGACTCATTTGCAACCCTAATAACATGTTTTTTGTTAACCACTCCCACGTACGTACATTTGACCTTGTTAGTGTGCATGGAAAGTTATTATCATCATCATCACCATCGCCGTCCAGATGACAATAGCAACAGTACGTAGTAGTTTAATTTGGACATGAATCACAAATCAATTCAAAATGTTGTTATTGTGTCATCATGATTCATGAGGAGACTGAGAGCCATCATCATATATATACTAATTAGTCAACTATACATGATTAGTTTTGTATGTAAAATGATCTTTATCATTCTTACGTGGTTGTTCATGTGTCATATCTATCTCATAGCTCTAAAACCTAAACATAAGTAAAGTTTCTGATGGTTATGCATTTGAACGAATTAGGGACACATAAACTCGTCATTCAGTTCTCGACAACTTATTTTCCCAATTTCGTATATACACGTCTTGTATTCGGTCGAAATTGTTCTTACCTTAATCCGATATTAGTAACGCGATTCGAGTATGCACCGGGAACATGTATTCTCACTCACTTATAGTCAACCAATCTAGCTCCCTACTCAAACTTTATAGCCCACAATATATAGCTAGCTAGGGTTTTCCTTTCTTGAACAACACACAAGCTATAGCTAGGCTAATGCAATGCACACTGAGACATGCATACAGTAAGTTTATGATAAAGGAAACCTTTTTATCTTTAAGCCATGAGTGATCTCAGTAAAAAAGAACTCTTGTCGTGGGGATTTCAATCAATTGATCAATCATGGGACCGTAAAAAATGTTGTGAAAGTTAGTTGGGTAAAAGGGATCGAGTCAACTACTATGCAAATCATAACTTTTTCATTAGTTTTTACGTTTCTCCATGAAACCAAAACCATGTCTTTATTATTATTATTGTTCTTTTGCCTGCTGTCTCTGTCGCACACTCACGGCTCATCGATACACTACAACCCAAAAAACAAATTGGTGCTGGCTGCTCAATCTCTTCACTTTCCCTTTGAAAAAAATGGAGGAAAAAACTAAAGGTGAAGACAGTCTGTGTTGCCTTTTGTTTTTTTTAAGCTTTTGGGATTTGATTCAAGGAGGGCAAAAGTCCGATTTTCCCACCAAAGAAAGGTTTTGTGTAGGATTCTCAAACAATAGTTTCATGAGGATCATCATTTCAAGTTTGATTGATCTTGCAAGCTTGTATGTCTCACGGATATGATTTAATCAAAGATAAACGATCTCGTGTGTTTTACTCCTTAATAGTAAAGTAAGACTTAATTAGTGTCCCTCGAGTCGAATAAATAGTGCAGGTAGAATTTTCCAACATCTTATCACCTAAACTTTTCATCGACAATCTAAAGTGTTTAAGATGCAAAACTCCATTACTCATAAGTCTGACAATTTGGATGACTTCTCAAGTATATGTTTACTTGGTGATGTTTGTTAGGAAGTGGTTAAATAACATACATGGATCTCTCTCAATAATTTGAGTTATTGAGACCAACTGATTCTTTCTACATGGTATTAGAACTGGTTTGTCATTGAGGTCACGTATTCAAGTCCTCACGATCCCCAATATTAATCGTTGTCTTTAAAGCACTTGGTATGGTGAGTCTGTGCAAACTTCTAGCCCATGGATTGGTTTTCGTTTGAGTAGGAGTGTTAGGAAGTGATTTAAGTATCATACATGGATCTCTCTCAATAAATAAATGTTACCTTTTCCATGCCATTGATATATTCTTCTATATGTTTCCTGCCTATTATATATGTGAGATTTCTCTCATTTGAAACCTATCCACTAAAGCTTTGATCACAATACACACATTCATAAATTGTTTTGTTAGTTTGTATTTTTTATGACTCGCTCGTCGAATGAATATCAATGTGGAAATGTTCACTTCTGACTTATCCAATCGCTCAAAGACCTAACGAGAATAAAATCACTTAGATAAATAGAGTCCAATATCGACTAAATTCTATATAGTTAATATATTTTGTAAAATATTTGTAGCAAACACTCCTATCTTTTCGTTACATGAAATTAAAATTTAAAGCTTTACCGACTAACAATGATATATTCAAAAAAAAAAAAATTGAATCGAGGATTTTTTTTGGGTTTCTTCGATTATTTTATTGAGATTGTTATAGTGTTTGATTTTTTAAAGTACATCATTTTAAAAATGTATACACACACATTATATTAATTTTTTATGCGACAATAACAAATATTCAAAATAAATGATAGTACAATCTCAATTTTTTGCTGATTTTTATTTTTGTTGCATTGAAAAGGAAGAGTACAAGTCACAACTTAATTAAAATATACTTTATTTAAAATTATTAAAAACAAAATCACATATATTAGTATCCAAATATTATGGTTTACGATACATTAAATTCATTAATATATGTATAATTTTATACCTATATAGTTCACAATTTAACAAACGAAAAAACTAAATCATCTCTACCATAACAACAACCTTCATGAAATAAAAGAAACAATTTTGATGAATTGTGTTTTTTTTTAATTAATTCCAGGGGGTTTGAGGGAATTAGGATAACAAGAGAAAAGACAGAAAGTGCTACGTCAGTATTTCAGCCGTAGGCTTCCCCGCCATCATCCATCCTCACCGTCTTCTTTTATTTTTTCTCCCATTAAGCACTCAAAATTTCAATATTACTCTTTTTTCCACCAATTATTCTTATCTTTTTCCCTTTCACTTGGGACAAAAACCCATTAAGAATCACAAAGAGGAGAAGAGATATCTCTCCACATATCGCACATCTCCATCTCTTCTCCTCCCTTTTCCTGTTACAGTTTCATTGTTTGTGTGGCTGAGAGAAAGAGCCCTTATTATCATTTCTTCCTCCCCTTTTTTTCTTTGCCTCTTCATGTGTTGAGAGAAGAGAGAGCAAGTTGGTCTAGCTTGCTACTTCATTTCTGGGTTTCTTTTCTCAGTTCTACAGCTTCCCTCTCTCACTCTCTCTTCTCTTTTAAAAAAAAGAAGTGTTTTTTTTTCTCTCTACCCTTTCTTGTTTGCGTTGACACCGAACCAATTCCAAAACCCAAAAGAGTTCCAAACCTTGTCTGTTCTTGGTGGAGTCCAAACAAAGTAGGGGAAAAAAAAAATCAGAGAGAGTGAGTGAGAGCAAAACACAGATCCAAATGGAAGTTCATATGACAAAGAATAGTCCATAGAAGCTTTCCACCCCGCTTCCTCCCCAACTTGTTTTCAAGCTAAAACCAAACAAAAAGCTTGAGGAGAAAACAAGGGAAACCAAAATCATCATCATCATCATCATATCAGCTTCCCACATATATGTATATATACTCACCCCTTTCTCCTCCTCCAGCCTTTAGATCCTCGCACTTTGCATAACCAAAAGCAAAGTTCAAAACTTTTCATCTCTCTCCCTTCTCTTTTCTTTCACTGTACCATGATGATGATGAAAAGCTTCATATTCCAACAACAACAACAAGATCAAGAGAACATGTCCAACCTCACCACTTCAGCATCCGGCGAAGCCAGTATCTCCTCCTCCGGCGGCGGCAGAGAACTAAATCAAAACAATTACCACCCACCACCAGAAATCCCACCATCCAATCAACCGCCTCCCAAGAAGAAGAGGAACATGCCAGGCAACCCAGGTAAAAAATTTGAACGCTATCATTCATTAATTCCCACTTTTGTTTTTTTTTTTTTTTTGGTTTGTGGATATGGGGTCAATAAATGTTGAGGTTAAGCTTGTTTTTTTTTGGGGTTTTTTTTGTGGTAACAGACCCAGATTCCGAAGTGATATCTCTGTCCCCAACGACATTAATGGCCACGAACCGATTCCTGTGCGAGATCTGCAACAAAGGGTTTCAGAGGGACCAGAACTTGCAGCTCCACAGGCGAGGACACAACCTGCCTTGGAAGCTGAAGCAGAGGGCTAAAAACGAGGTTGTGAAGAAGAAAGTGTACGTGTGCCCCGAGCCGAGCTGCGTCCACCACGAACCCTCCAGGGCGCTGGGGGATCTGACTGGGATCAAGAAGCATTTCAGCAGGAAGCACGGGGAGAAGAAGTGGAAGTGCGAGAAGTGCTCGAAGAAGTACGCGGTCCAGTCGGATTGGAAGGCCCATTCCAAGACCTGTGGCACCAGGGAGTACCGGTGCGACTGTGGCACCCTCTTCTCAAGGTAACTCGCAGTGAAGAAGAAGATTGAATTTAATTTGTACCATCTTTGGTGGGCGGGATTTGATTTTGGTTCAGTTTGGGGAGTATTAATTGGTGTTCCCTGATGAAAGGACACAACAAGGTCATGTGAGATTGAGGATTATAAGTTTTTGGTGTTGGCAAAGGGAATTTGGCAATAAATGTGTGTGTGTGTGAGAGATGAGAGATCTGTCCTTGTTGGGAATTTTTCTCATGTTCCTTCCAAGATTTTGAGAGAGGGAGATGGATGGTTTCATACTTTCATTAAATGGCTGACATGAGAAAGAGGGAGAAGGTGGGAAATACTCAAATAGTCAAACTTGAAGCTTAGTTTGGTAAATAGTAATAATGGCAGGCAGCAGCCTAGCACTAGAAAGAGAGAGAGGAGGGATGATGGAAGAAAGAAAGTCAGAAAGCCCAGAAAGTAAGAAGAGAAAAAGGAGAGAGGGATGAATATTCATTTTATTGCTTTTTATTTTTTGTCTTGTTTCATATGTTTGTTTGTGTTTGCAGGAGGGACAGTTTCATAACCCACAGAGCATTCTGTGATGCATTAGCAGAAGAAAGTGCAAGAGCCATCCCTACTGCTGCTGCTGCTACAGCAACAACAACAACAATCCCACAATTCAACCACCAAGGCAACAACAACAACAATTTCCTCCATTACCCATTTTCCTCTTCTTCTCCTTCCCCCTCCCTGAAAAAGGAGGATAATAACATTACTACCATGGACAGTAATGGTAATTTCGGTCTGCTCAACAACAGCAGAGAGTTGCCACCATGGCTAGCCAGCTGCCCGCCTGCAGGCCTACGAGCTGCTGCTGCTGCTTCATCAGTAATGGGCTCGGGCCCGGGCCCGGGCCCACTCCTTCCTCATCATCTCTCGTCGTCGTCCTCCTCTTCATCATCATCACCATCCATTTTGTCAGGAGCAAACCCTAGCCAGCTGGGCCCCACATTACCGAACTTCCATTCCTCCACCACGCAGCACATGTCAGCCACCGCGCTGCTCCAGAAGGCCGCTCAGATGGGCGCCACCACAGCTTCCACCACCGCCGCCTCCAAAACCGCCGGCCTCATGCTCGTCACCCCGACGGCCCACCCTGACCATCATCACGTGACTACCAACAGCAACAGCAATGCCGGTTTCGGTTTCGCGCCACGTGACAGCGTGGGGACCACCGCCGCAATAGGTGGCGGTGGAGGTGGAGGTGGTTTGTTTCAGGAGATGATGAACTACTCATTCGAGGCGGTGGAGGACGGCGGCGGCGGGACGACGAGGGATTTCTTGGGGCTGAGGCCATTGACGCACAGTGATTTGCTCAGCCTCGCTGGTTTTGGAAACTGCATCAACGATGATGATAGTAATAATAATAATAATGCTGACCACCAACATAGTCACGAGTCTCAGAAACAACCTTGGCAAGGTAATTGATTATTTATAATAATATATATTCCCCTTCTTTTTTCTTCTTTTTTTTACTGTTTTGATCCATTTTGTCTTGGTTCTTCCCCTTCTCGAAAATCTCTATATATCATACGATTAATTCGTTGTAATCCTTTTTTTTTTTTTTTTGTCAATCTGTTTCCTCTCATTCCATCTGTTTTTTTTTATGTATATGATGATGATGAGATGCCCTAAGGGTTTCTCTGAGGCCATTATTGGCATCATGATTTATCATGAAGCTATGTTGCCACGATGAGCGCGTCATAGATTTCTATTGTACCGTAGTAGCAGTATTGGTTACGCTTTTATGACGTATCGTTGTCGATATGGACCGTCATGGTATGACATGGTACAATGTGGGTTTAGTACATCAACTACTCGGTTATGTGGTGTAACGCGGTGATTATTAATTAACTTTGGTTACTCTATATATAGTCAATCATTCATAGATTGATTGTCATCATTCGGATTCGGATTCGGAATGAGGGATTAGTCACTATTACTACGTGAATTATTAACTTTGGTTCATATAAGTAACTATAATATTATTGTTAATGACTTCCTAGTTCCTACTACCATTTTGCACAACAATCCTTATCAGCTCAATTTCCATTCATATTTCAAGGCGTTTATCAGGAGAATACGCAATTGATCACCTTAATTTAAGGCACCAATACCCACAAAACCAGCTGCTATAGTTAAGACATAATTATAATTTATTTTTTATTTTCGACTATTTTATGATATACAACAGTAAGTATGTCGTGCATTGGGAACATAAATAACAACTCTGCCATGTCTTATTCTGATGATTTGTGGACTATAGTATAGTTTTGATTTTTGAAAGAGCCACAGTAACCTAAGAAATTAGTGAAGCAATATAAAAAGGGAAAAGCTTATAGTTATATTTTGTGCATTAGGTAACTTAATCATATTATATAAGCTAATGAATTATCATTCCACGCACAAAATTTCACGCACTATATCACTTTTTAAATGACAATTGTGACATTAAACTTGTTGTTCATGGAAGATAATTTATTAGAATGAAATATCAACCTAAATGATAGTTCGATTTATTAGGATGATTTTTATTTTTATTTCTCGTTGAAACGATAACGAAATTTAATAACTAAAACTAAGTTATATGTTACATCGGAATCAGATATAGTAGTCTTACATTAGAAATGATTGAGCGTGTAGCAATTGACGAAACTGTGAGAGCTAAACTTAATCTAACATTTGTTTGAACTTTTGAAAGGTATATTTAAAAATAATATTATGATCAATTTTCATTGAACATTTTAAAGAAGTTCAATGTCCACCTTATACACAAGATATGCTAATAAGTTGACAGTCTGCTAGTTTAGCTGCATTTTTTCTTCTTCTTGCAAACAACTACATTTTCTTAATTTCTTCCAACCCCATTTGATTCTTTGGCTTTAATTTTTTCTTTCCATGTAAACAAGGTGCTCAAATGTTTATCAGGGCAAGTTTTCATGTTGTGAATGTTCTATAGTTCTTGGGCTTATGGTATGACTTTTCTAGGGTTGGGGTCCTTTAATGATTTGTTTTAAGTTGGAGATATTTTGTTGTATCATGTTTGTGTATGGGCACCTATTTTCTTCCTAAGAAACAAGTGTTTTTGTGATACCAACTAATCACACCGATTGTACATATAAGAGATCAATCCAGCACATATTTTTAGGAGGAGTAATATCTTAACACTTATTAAAAATACAAGTGAGTTATTGTAGCATAAAAGATTGGTTAAAATGACCAACAAGTTTTTATTTAGAGATGATACCTCGCTTATTTTTAAATACATGGCTATTCTACACCTTTCTTTTTAGTACTATAGAGAAAATCGATTCTGCATTTGGAAGTCACACTTCTTTATATTGTCAATGACCGATATGATTTCATCATATGCAAACTTAACAATATTATTTATCTTGGTGGGCACCTTAGGTCGCAAATATCCTCAACTCGTTGTGATCGGAAGTCCCTTTAAACCGATAAAATGCTCATTTTGCAAGCATGTTGAAGCAGGATCTCACTGAATGCAGGTGGTCATTCATGAGAAGATAATTCAAAATAACACTCCAAAGATAGAAAATAAACCACAACCCAACATATTTGTATCATATATTTTTCCCCCCGGCAAAGTCAGTGTTGAAAAGATAGTCACAAGGAGAAAGAAAGAAAAGCGCGGGAGTCGACTAATAGTCGAACTCCCGATGAGAGGGCCTTTTGTGCCACATGATGGGCAGCCCTATTTAGTCGACGAAAAACAAAACAGTAAGAAATCCAGCTGAAGTGAAAAGCTAAGCTCCGAGCATCATCCAGTAGAGCTCCACCCCGATCATGCGCCAAGTCACCTCCCACCATCCCGCCGTATCAATTATTGTGTATCATATATTTATTGTAATCTTTATCATGATTTCACTATTATATCTTAAAATCGTTACTCTCATCAATACAATCTAATATAACAACTATAAAGAGCCATAACTCCAAGACAGAAACGACAAATCTCTAACCACGGACAATTGGACTAATTTCAGCACAAGTAATTATTACATGATTACTATATATGCACAACAAGGATTTCCCCCATTTTTTCTTTTGCCCCCTCTTTTTTAGGGTTAAGGTGGGGATCGATGATGGAACAAATGGCGCACCTTCACATGCAAAAGACACATATAGTGATCATATACAGTATGAATGAAATGCACTCTCTCAGTCAAGCTTACAATAATTGTGCATGGATTTCGATCTGTCACAGCATATATTTCAAATAATTCAAACTTCACATGATTAAATATCATTATTCTGATCTCTTCCTATACACCAAGGTGTGAAAAAAGAAGTTTTCATCGTCATAGTAAGCAAACACATGCAAAAGGGAACTTTCTGTTCTAGGCAAACTTACATATCCTCCCCCACTAATACAAAATGAATGTAGAAAATATGTCCATGGTGGTCCACTTTGCTTCGAGCTCTCTCTCAAATATATGTACCATATATACAACATTAATTACAGCTAGATAGGGTTGATTATTATTCTCTCAAATTCATATAAAGGAGTTGTGAGATTATTCTCTTGACATGTCCACATGTGAATCATAGCCTTGGAAGATAAAACAAAAACATCATCTAGATGTGATCGAGTCCTCGTAATTGTTGTGTGTAGTCCAATCATGATCGGAATTTATGTTTACTTCATTTTGGATAGCAACCCTTCATTAAAAGAAAAAGATAGACATTATTCGTGCTTCTTCCTGCATTGAGAATGCAAATATAAAATCTAATTTTGTTAAGAGAGATAAGCACGCATTCGGAAACATAAACTATAAGTTTCGATTCTACCATCATGGTTCTTTTCTTACATTTATAATGTATACCATATGTACGTAGCACACTCCTTTTGTATAACCCAACATAGCACTGAATTTTAGTTTAGAAATTATGACTTCTCTGATCTAACCCATTAATTCGATCAACACTTGAGGACCATAAAAATCACTCCGTACAGTATCAACCCAGTTCATGTATTGATCATTCGTAGATAATTACTCGTCGAATCGGCCCGTATTCACCACCCAACATAGAATTAATCACATAATAGTAATCAATGAGTTCCATATTACAATAGTAATAAGAGTCTATAGCTACACATTACATGAACTCGCGACACCTACAAGTGTCATTCCAATGCATGCATGTGAAGACAGGAATATTCGATCATTCATTTTGGTACATTGAACAACTTGACACCTTTTTCTTCACTTGAATACCATGGGAAGTGATTGTTCAAAAAAAGAAAGAGGTTAATTACCAAGCAAGTGTTAAGAGGAAAAGCGGGGAACATTTTTGAGGGAGGTGGTATACACAACGGAAGTAGAAAAAAGGCATCGGATTCTTTCAAGAGATCGAGAGGGGGAAAATAAATAAATAATTGAGATGTGGGAGTTAGCTGATTTTGGATAATATGGCACTCTTTTTATTTCCAAAATGCCAAAAGGGTTTTGCTTTTGGGACACCTTAATATATATGGAGTGCAAGTGGGAAGGATGGATGGATATTCAAATCCCAAGGCCAAACACATCTCTAGCTTCTTGCCTCCCACAAGTGGATTCCCAACCTTGAAACCCTAGAAAATTAAGGAAAAACTATACGCACTAATCATGTGTTGTAGACTTGTAATAATCTCATATTTATGTCAAATTGTATTGGGCTAAAAATATTGTGTTATAGAGTACATGTCATCAAGTATTGGCAGTGATTTATTTATCGGATGCTTTGTGGAATATATGATATGATGTATATAAGAATCTGATTGGTATATGCAGACAAATATGTTGAGAAATGTAATGTTTATAGCATTTTGAGAGTGATGTGTTTTGTATTGGTGTCGGTCGATGATAAATGTGTATTCCCTTTTATAAAGAGATAAAAAAAAAATCTTATGTTCACATAGTCTAAATGATTGAAGAATGCATGACAATTGATGTTCGGAGTATCATACTTGAGTTTGCAAATGGAAAGACAGAATGGTAATTTTACCACATTGGATATAATATGATGTTAGAAACTGAAAGCATTCATTTCAAGGGCTCTTCATTTTATGGTTAGTAAAAAATAAGTGATATTTGCTAATTGATCGATGATCAGAGTTGTTTATTTATAATTTAAGTTGAAAGTGGCATTCATACATATCTTGAATTGTCTTAAATAATGTCTTTACATAAGTATCCTCGTGCTACCCATACTTAGTAAAAGTTACAGGTGTTTCAATAAATAAAATAAATAACTATCCTCCTAACTCACTAGTTGTCGACTTTTGCTTCTTGCGTATCGAGTTAATGAGCGACGGAGCGAAACTCTACACCTGTTTTTGTTCACATGTTAGACTTACTAATTCTTTCTAATTATTATTTTTGCTGAATATTTTAGTTATGGGACAACAACTAAAATTGTAAATGTTCTTGTCTCTAACTTGTAACAATATCCAAAAATTTATTATCGGGAATTTGAGCTAAAAGAGTTGGAAAGCTACTTAGGGTGCTATATTTGGGATTAGTATATCTTGAATTGTCATCTATACAAATTAATGAGATTTATGCTACATGGTTTTCAACTTTTTATTATCAATTTGAATGAAGTGGTATGGTATCCAAATTTCAGTGACAAATTTGAGGATAACAGGATGTGGTATTGTCTTGCTGCAGAATGGGATTTGGGTGGTTTCCCCTGCTTGGTTACTACTTACTAGCCACTGAACCACCTCTCAAGCTGAGATCATGGCTTTCTTTTCTCCACAATGGTTGTCAAATCCTTTGATTTCTGAATTTTTTCGACTTTCACTTCAGTTGCAGTCTTTTGGACCACAATCCAATCTCTATGTCCCTGCTCCAGTACTTAAGCACGGGGAGAACGTTATGGCATAAAGCTTCACATAATAATGCTCTTAAAGAAGCTACATTCAGCTGCTAATGTGATCAACTGGAGTGGCCATTGTTTGCCCTTTGCTTAATTCTTATTCAGGATTCTAATTTGTGAAGGTGACACTAGAGCTAGAATCTCCTAGCCCCGAACTTTTGATACACTCAGTTGATCATCAAGGCTTTACTTGTGGTTTAAGGAAACAAAACTTGCATAGATTGGATGTACTCTAACTCCCTTTGTACATTGAACTGATGCTCTAATGGTGGGTGCTAGTCTTTTTCTAAACAACACAACGAAGAAGACGGTATGCCATGCATGCAATCTCAATATATGGAATCAAATATCCAGATTTGAAGAGGGGATGTTCTGTTGCAAGAAGACAGCTCTTGGTTTAGAAGTTGGTCTTGTAGTAAATTGTAAAGGTTGGAGTTCAATACCTAGTTTCCAGGGGAAGCATTTTTTGGCCAGTTATTCAAATCCTTTCTTTAACCAAGAGGGCAATGTATCATAAAGTCTACATGATCTTTAGCCAAACTATCACAGACAAAATCACATCTCTGTTGAAATCAATGCATTCAACAATTCTAGTTACTAAACGAACCCTAAGCTTGCTATTGTTGTAAGCTTTCAACGAGGCAAGGGAACTTCAGGCATACATTTGATTTGCCAAAAGAGCAACAAATGATGAAGCCATCGTAGGAGAGGCACAAACTGTAACATAGCACATCAGAAACACCATCAGGAGAGGTGAATTATTTTATCTGTATTATGCAAAACGTAAAAAAAAAAATCCTCTCTTAGGACTGATACATAGTTCTACAAGGTGAAATCTTACTACATTTCCCGACTTATCTGACGAAAATTTTACAAAACAATGAAAAGATTATTTGGAAGGGGACGACTCTTCCTTTGAGCTCGACATAGCTGCTGAAGCTGCCATGGTCATAGCCGTTGCAGCAGCACCGAGCTTTGCACCACCAGCTGCCTTCATTGCACCAGCTACTTTTGCGAACACTGCTATTCCTCCAACAAGTACAGCCCTGAATGCAACCGTTGGCTTTATCGCCATTTTCTTATATGATGTCTGCAACACCGGATGCCATTTCCACAGTCAGCAACAGAAACTAGCAGGCAGAAAATTCAATCATTCGCTGCCCTGGTTTGTGATAACAAGAGATTTGTATGTTGCATCTCTTAACCATAATTCAAGCATGCTCAGATTTTCTATAATCGTGATTTGGAAAAACGTTTCACATTCTGTTGCAAGCTGAGAAGGGTTTGGTCAATGCAACATGTCAAATGCAACATAAAATTCCGGGGAGGGACCATAGCACCTTATAGAACCCAAAAGGCGAAAGGTGAAATGCCTTTCTGATAGAACAAGTGAAAGAAAAACCCCTACTCTTTCAAAGGACTATGAGTACTCTCAGTTAGCAAGTTGCAGAAGACAAACTGAAAAAAAGTTTACCCCGTCTAAAGCTACAAACGGACAGAGAAGAACCTAGACCCTCCTATACCGGGAAAATAAGATTTGTATAATGCTGAATATAAATTTCAATGTAGCTTAACAATGTCAAAGATGCAAACCATCTCAGATGCTCAGTTTGTTTAGTATGGTCTACACTGTCAACATACCATGTTTTAAGTAACCTACAGAGTTAGCCATTCCTTCCCGGGCAAGGTGTGAAACAAAACTCCTGTAGTTAACATAATGCAACCGAAGCTATAAAGATGAGGATTGTCCATCATTTGCCGCATTCATTCTTATCACATATTAACCATTCAAGACAACATCCACCCAATTTGCTAACTTATCCATCACATTTTAACCCAACAACTGCCCACTGGAAAAGCAACAGCTTTTCCAATCCTTCAAGCTAACAACAGAAACAAAACTCGGCCTCAGATTCTGTACATACTCCCCACAGTCGCATAATGAAGCAGCAACCCAATTGCTTGCTCAATAATGTATGTAAAACACAACTGCTGTTCATTTAGATGGCATAAACAATCCCTAGGTGAACAAATGATTCTGACAAGACATACATTCCTAAGTTAGATACGCACGCCTATGAAGGAACTTCTCTGTCAATTACTATCATGAAAGAACTCAGAAACTATTTTCTCCATCTCCCCCAATTTCGCAGCATTAACTAAGAACCCTATCAAAAGGTTAAAAAGTTATGCTCCTCGAGACATATCATAGCTATCATCTTTACCAAGTTCAAAATGTGATCAGCCTCAACAAACCAAAAGCTAAGAGATGAAGAACAAGATGGAATTGAAACCTAACCTTCGGAAACAAGTTCTCCAAAAGAAAGGCAGAATTTTCTTCTCTGGGTGATTGCTTTTTGTTGCTTTCTCCTGGAAATCTTCAGAAGCGGGAAAAGGGAAATTTTTTTGCCGGGGATCAAGAGAGACAGAGAGATCTTATAAGAGAAAGAGACCGAGAGCCCTCGATTTGTCTCCCTCCTTTTCTTTGTTCGTACGAGCTAAAAATGAGGGCTTGCGTTTGTTTGCTCAATGGTCTGTGTTGGGTTTCTTCTGCTGTACAGAAAATTTATGAGAAAAAATGGCACTTTCTTCGGTAATATATGATTCCTATTTCCCAGCCACCACACCATCACCAATTCACCATTCGAGTTCTGAATTCCATGGTCACTGAACTTCAATATAACTTCCATTTACAATCACAAAATTTATAAAGCTTGCATATTTTGACACATTAGCAATGTAGGAATGGCAATTGAGCCCGACAAGCAATAGTCTTTACATTTATGTTTTTCACTATTAAGCGCGCATCATGTTGAATAAGATCACCTGAGATTCTTCAGAACAAAGTTAAAGCAAGATACTTACTCTATCTCACATTACATGCAAATCAATTCATGACATAATAAGTGAGGACGATTCGGTTCGCACGAACCAGTTCGAAAATTATCATGATTAGTGGAAATAGACATTAGTCTTAGGCTATAATATTTATTCTGTAGAGGCAAACACACATTTTCCAAAGAATTATTAGTATATATGAAATTTGAAGACTAAAAGATAAATCATGTAAAACACTAGTGACTATACTGAAAATTTACCAACTTCGTTAAACAGCGTCGTTATTGGAGCGGAACTGTTCCGTTTATCTTTCCTTCCTCTGCTCCTTCCCCAAAATTTCCCCAAATTCTTCGCCGGGAAAACCAGTAGAGCATATCAGAAACGCACAACGAGAGAAGCAATGGATCAATTCGGTGGAGGAATGGGAGGAGGTGGAGGGTGGACAATGATCCCAAATATGACTGCCCACGCAAACTCCCCCGCGCATTCGAATCAAGACCAGTACTTCCTCCATCAGCAACCTACGCCGCCGCCGCAGCAATTCAATCAGTTTCAGCAGCAATCACCGCAGCAGTTAGTCCAGCAACAATTCAATCAACAACAATTTCAACAGCAGCAGCCACCACCACCACCTCAACAACAACAACAACAACAACAGTTTCAGCCGATGCAGTCGCCGCCACAGCGTTTGATTCAACAGCAGACCCCGCCTCAGCCTCCGCCGCAGCAATCGCTGGCATCCCATTTCCGCCTTTCCCCTGTAACGTCTTGGGTTTTCTTGGTTCTGTTGGGTTTTATTTGTTTTCAGGGAAAAGTTTAGGACTTTGTTGCTGCTGTCTTTGCAGCTGGTGGAGAAATTGGCTGATGCTGTTGAGAATGGGACTCGTGATCCGCAGTCTGATGCTTTGGTTTGTTTCCCTCTCTCTCTCTTTTGTTGCAGCTGTTGCTATTCCAATGTGATGATTTACTAGTGGGTTTTTTGCTATGGGAAGATCAGGTTAATGAGTTGAACATTCACTTTGAGAAGTGCCAGCAGCTGTTGAACTCCATCTCCAGCTCAATCAGCTCCAAGTCTATGGTAATTACTAATTCCTTTGATTTTTTTTTTTAAATCTTGAACCTTGTTGTACAAGATAGTTCGTTGGTGATAGTGTTGACTTGTGTGATTTTGATGAACTCTTAATAGAGCTAGAACAAGTTTGCATGCAGAATTAATAGATAAGTTGGTTAAGGGTTTTGTCAAGTGTTCAAATAACCTAGTTTCATTGGTTCTCGACGGACAAGGTGCATTAGTTCTTTGATTGTTACGGAGTTTATTGACTTGAAACTGAGAGTTTCGATTCACATATGGTTTGGATGTTTGGAATGGAGACTGTTGAAGGGCAGGAGAAAAAGTTGGAAGAAACTGAACAGTTGCTTGATCAACGAAGGTACGTGTCATTTGAATGTGACATTATCGTCGAGCCTTCCTGCTTAGTTTTCTGTACTTAACGCGTGGAGGGAGACATATTCTAATCTTGATGGTTGATTACCAGGGACTTGATTGGCAACTACAAAAACTCTGTCGAAGACCTTATCAAGTCCGATCCATGACTACTTAGTACTTGCTGAGACCTAACAAACAAGGTATGAGATGGAAAGTTTTGTTCGTTTTTTGGAAATGAGATGATTTAGGATGATGTATTGAAGAATGAATGAATGACTTTGTGTCCGGTTTCGAACCAAAAGCTAACTGCAAAGGTTGTGAACGATATAGAATCTCTGCCTTTTTGTCATCGACTCTTCCATTTCCTCGCTGTTTGGGTTTGATTTGCAGGTGAGGTCATAAGATGAGCAATCTCACATGAACAAACCAAGTCTTGGAAGGAGAGGACCAGTTGTCTTTCCTGTTGTTCGCTTACAACGGTTAAAGAGCCACCAGCGTTCATTTTGTTTGTGTAGTAGTAAACAGGAGGTCTGACTAAATGGAAATGTAGAACGAAGATCAAATGCTGTAGAAATTTTATTTACATGTGTGTAGTAATGATAGCTTGGAGTTGTACTCGAGAAATAGATGGTATTCTGCATTATTATGTTCTGGTAGTCACTGATGGATACTCTTCCGGCAAGGATTGTTATCAAACTCACATTATATGTAGGGATGTCGATTTTGACCTGATCCGTTTTACCCGATCTATCTGGTCTGTTTTGGGCGGGGCGGGCATGGGTAATCATCTCGACTTGACACGCTCTGACCCGTTACATTATCGGCTCGTTTTTGCCTAAGTTGCATATAATTTTAAGCAAATTATTTAGAACTTATTTTTATTGTCTCATATTTTAGCTATAATAAAGTCGAAAATATGTGAAAATATCAATTTCTTGAATTATATCAGTACACTTATCATCTAATAGCTTGTTTCTTTATTTATTTAGTGAAAAAAAAATCAACATTTCTAGAACTCTCTCTTTAAATTACATATCCATATGGATCGATCAACAACAACCCGTGCTCCATAATAAATTGTCCGACTTATATCCGACCTGCCATGAGACAAGTATAGATATCGATACCCTTACTCTAGTGTTGGCAAGATTAATTGATATATAAACCCGGGTTTATGATGAATGTACTCCAAACATTGGTTTGATCTTGTGTTAGCAGTTAGTTCTATGCCTATAAACCCCACTGGTGTCCATCATAGGGAAAAATCATTACAATCTCAAGTCATCCTTATTTCTGTTCAGAGGCATATCTTAAATTGGGTTTAGTGCCTTTGCATGTCACATACTAAGTCCACCATGATGATTGGTTACTTGACAAGAAAGCAACATGTAGTCTTAATGTCCTTGAATGAGACCATTTAACTTGGAACCATGAACCATCTCCAACAACATTATCTTCTACCATGGATCAGAGTAAAATAACATGCAAAGATAATCAACACGTGCTAAAATAGTTTTCAATATTATGCAAGAAGATATTTGTTTTTAATTCATGGAATATTATCCGATTTAGTTATATTGAATGGAATAGTAACTAATTATAGTGAAACCTCAAACACCCTAAAAACAACATTACTCCAATCTCTTGCTTGATTCTACAATTAATAACCAAATGAATTATGCTAACCATGCATTAGCTATTATTCTACTCAATAATTCATAATCCAAAACCAATCCCAACTACTAAATATTTATTTTATTCATTAATTAAACCCATTTTATCACTTTTAACCTCTTTGAAAAACAAAATTCCAATGTAACAAACATTAAACAAGGGATCGTTAAGAATTAAAAAAAAACATACTTATCATGGAAACTACTACAGTTCTACAATTACGATAGAGCTAGAATTGTTATCCCACCGTCTGATTCATATTGATCTAAACTCTCTGAAATCATCACCATAATCACAACCGTTACTTAACTCCAACACCAGTACCACCACGACATAAGAATTTTCCCTCGCTCGCTCGCCCGCCCTGTCTGTCTTTCTCTCTCTCTACCTATGACCATTTTCTCTCCACAATTAGCTTCTTTCTTTCTTCCAAACCCACCATTGTCTAAAAATACCCTCCCAACAGAAAAATCCGTTACCTCTTTTTTTATGTGTCCTTGGTCTCCTCCCATTTCTCCTCATCTCCCATTTCCCTTTTGCCCCTCGTTTCCATTCATTTCGCACTAACACAAGAAGAAAAAAGAACCAGAAACCAAAAAACTCTGCCCCCCCATACCCAAAAAACTCTCCCCGGCACAACCTCACCCGCCGGCAACGCGGCTGCCCCAAAAACACTCTCCCCCTCTCATCGCATCAATATGAGCAACACCACCCACAGCACCAATAACACCACCGCCATTTCCGTCGCTAATACCTCCACAAGCAACAATAGCTACAACAAAACCGACGCCAAACACAGAATTGGCAGCAGCAACAACAACAATAGCAACGGGTCGAGCCCGGCTTGCGCGGCGTGCAAGTACCAGCGCAGGAAGTGCGCCCCTGACTGCGTCCTGGCCCCTTATTTCCCACACGACCGCCAGCGCCAGTTCTTGAATGCGCACAAGCTGTTTGGGGTGAGGAAGATCACCAAAATCATCGAGAATCTCTCCACCCCGGCCGAGAAGGACGAGGCGATGCGTGCCATCATAATCCAGTCCGATGTTCGAGCCAGCGACCCCGTCGGGGGCTGTTACAGGATCATACGAGAGCTGCAGCGCCAGATCGAGTACGGCGAGGCTGAATTGGCCCTCGTCCTTCATCAGCTCCACATTTGCCGCCAACAACAACAGGAGCATCAACAACAGCAGGATCCCCAGCAGCAGCAGAGCACGATGGAGAGCAACATTGATTCGGCGATGATGGCCGTGGGGTGTCTGGATGTTTACAGTGATCCAATGTTGTTGCAGTTTCATTGCGGTCAGCAGCAGCAGCAGGCACAACAACAGTCTGATCAGCACGAAGAACAAGATCAGCAACAACTACAACAACAACATCAGCACCATCACCACCACCATCACCACCATCACCATGAGAATCATGAACTGCTTCATCAGCATCATCATGGGTATGTCATCCAGGAGGCGTTGCAGGATGGAGGAAGCGTGAATTCGTGGGGGATGGCTGTTGGTGGGTGATTTGGTGATTGCAGGCCTGCAGATGTTAGTAGTATGTAGAGTATATTGAATTGAATACTATATAGATTTATGAATATGATGTTGAAATTTAAGCTATATCCCAAGTGTTGGAAAAAGCAGAAGTTATAGTTTTGATAGGAAATTTCCAAACTTTTTATTATTTCCCGTTCATCATATGGTAATATGGGCTTTCAAGCAGAGCATCCAGATGAAATGGAAAGTTTCAAAAAGTGGGAGTTGGAAGGAATTTCAGAGAGTGCCTTACCATGGAGATTCGATTTTCTTTCTTTATCACGGAGTTCCACTTCCATTGTTGAGACTCAAGAGCACCAGCAATCAAAGGGGAAACCCAGAAACTATAAATGTTCATCGAAAAAAAAGGGTTCTATCTAACAGTCCTTTTATCAAACACTTCTCGTGCATCAACCATCCGTCGTCCTCTTCTTCGTAACCAATCAAGCCATTCGAAGACGTGAAGCTGGTCCTGACGATGAACAATCTGATACGGCCTAGAGCTCCTAGTAATTACCACGAATCTACATGCCGGGAATCGCCAAAGGGATAGTTAAACCGTCACCCTGAAGTTCCAAAATCTCTCATTCTGCAGTACAAATTCAGAGTGTTTTCAAGTGCAGAAGCCACGCATTAGCTTTCAGAATCGAACTCCATGGCGATCATATTCCAAAAGCGAAGAGCAGAAACATGGCGCATGGAAGCGATGAAGTTTCACGCCGAGAAAGCAGAGGTGAAGGAAGAGTGTTCCCTTCCCCCGGCGGAAAGCTGGTCTGGTTCAGAGAGCTTGGAAAAATTTTGGGGGCATTTTTGGCGGCAAATGCGGATCGGAAAATTGATTCGGGCCTCCTGGCCCAATGGGATTGTCCAATGTCAAGGTGTGCAAACTCTTGTTTTGGACTGTGGTTGAGCCCAGTGATGAGGTGGTAATTTACATCTATCGGGATTAAACTTGGGACTGGTAACCAAAGTATATTAATACTACAAAACAAAATGATCCATCTATAATGGAGTTCATCCAAAAATACGGCTGCTTAACTAAAAATGGGATGGCAATTTCAATCTAATCTATTTCTTGAAGCTTCCCTCTTAATCCGTCATGTGTCATTACTGTATTTAGTGCTTTGTATCCTTCTACGGTCTAGTTCCTCAACAGTATCCTTTGGTACAAGAGGTCGCAAGGCGCATGACATATGAATTCAGCTGTAGTATTGTATTTTCATCATTGATGATGTCATATTTGATGATAAAAATGCTTATTTCAATACTTTAGAAAATTTATATAGAATAGTTCGTCTTAATTAATTATTACTAACAACATAAGAAAGAAAGAAAAAATTGTAGATAAAATAATGAAATATACTCTTAACTAGATTAGTACAAAAAATAGAGATGAGGGATTTGACACTTTGGTCTTCTTTATTGGAGCAATTTTTCCATCATTTGTGCAGCTAGAGTGTCAAAATATATATCCAAAATTTGACATTTTATATAATACAATTGTGATGGTGGTAATCTAGCACTCACGATGGGGAAGAAGGCAGGGGTCAGGGGGCCACATAACAAATACGAGAATATACTAGACCATTACAGGTCAAGTAATCAAATAAAATTAAGAAGTAGATAAAACGTTAATTAATATGTGTACGAACCAACGATACAAAAAAAAAATTACCATAGAATGGACAACCATGTTATACGAAGTAACCTCTTTTCTTTATCAAAATATAATCATTCCCACCCTCGTCTTTTCTTAATGTAACACCATCATAATAATAATGTGCCACTTTGCATATGTTGCGCTTAGGAAGAGATAAGGCAGTTAGGCATCATCATTTGTCTTCTAACTACCGAAAGTGGTGAATTTGTGCACCCAGAAAACAAATTAAAGGTCCATGAAACAGAGATAAAATAAAAAAGGGGGTTCCAATAATCACAAAAAGGAAGAAGGAAAAAACCCCATTTTTCAAAAGGGACCAGTAAGTAATGGGTTAATTACATTGTTGGTCACTGAAATTATAAAAAACGTTCATGTTTGGTCACTCGAAATATTTAAATCCATCCATGGTCACTACATTTAGTAAAACAATCCAAATTTGGTCACTCTCCGTCCAACTCCGTTAACTTTAGCTGATGTGGCAGTCAACTCTCATAGTTGACCGTTAAATCTGTGACGTGGCAATTAAAAATTAATAAAAATTTAATTTTAAATATTCCACCTCATTATCACTACTATTAAAAATTAAAAAATTATTAATTATTACTTTTAAATACTTAATAAACTAATCTCACCCCTCTTTCTCACCGTCGACTGAAAGAGGGAGAGCTCCGTCGTGTTTATCGGAATCGGCACACCAGCCCGACGCAAGGGAGGCGGAGGGAGTGGACGGAGGACTGATTCGCGTCGCACTCGATTCTGACCCAGCTGCAAACCGAGGAATTGTTGGTGCTCCATTGGAGACGATTCTCGTGTGGGACCTGTGAGAGGAAAGAGAGGAGAGCTTGCTTCTCCTCCTCTTGCGGCTCCGCCGTCACACTCGTCACCAGCATCTAATTTCACCCATGCCAGGAGATTCGAAGTCGGAGCCCTGGAAGAAGAAGAAGCGGGGTACAGAGGAAGATGCCCTACAGGCATTGTACGTGTCTCGGAATTGGGGATGTGAAATTGCGTCGTTCCATGTCTTGGAGACGCACTTGAAGCGGATGAGGGATTTGGCGGGGAGGGAGAAGAGGATGGTGAAGACGGATTTGTCGGCGGAGAGGCGACGGCGGCGCGGTTGCGGGGGAGGAGGAGCCATAGCTTTGCTGTCTTTTGCCCTTGGTGAGTGGGTTGATTCTCAGGGTAAAAAAGAAAGAATCACTCTTTGTCCCGTTGACGGTTGATATATAAAAGGGTTTTGTAGTGTTTTCCTTGCCGGCGACGGAGAACGGAGGTGAATCGGAATGACGGGTATTGCTTTGCTTGCTGTTGCTGTTTGGGGTAGAAATATTATGAATCGTTTAAGGTATTTAAAATTAATTTTTATTAATTTTTAATTGCCACATCACAGACTTAACGGTCAACTATGAGAGTTGACTGCCACGTCAGCTAAAGTTAACGGAGTTGGACGGAGAGTGACCAAATTTGGAATGTTTTACTAAATGTAGTGACCATGAATGGATTTAAATATTTCGAGTGATCAAACATGAACGTTTTTTGTAATCTCAGTGACCAACAATGCAATTAACCCGTAAGTAATAAATATAATAAGTTGGAACAGTACAACAAAATATCGGGCAATGAATGCCATGGAGAAGACGAGAGTGCCCTTTTCTTAATGCTGGCCACTGAAGTCCCATCGTTATTTATTTCGACATTTTGCTATCTGTATATGTTGGAGTCGGTCGGACCACCACTACTGTTCATTTTCCTGCTGTGCCTGTGCTGCCATTGTCATGACTCATGAATGATAGGTCAACTTGTCTTCTTTTGGCACTCTCACAAGAAGAGGAAGAAGATAAAAGGATATCGCCAAAGTGGACGTAAAAAAGGATGCCTTTCTAAAGCTGCTGGATATTTTTCATTTTGTAGCGGCGTTTCATTTGATTTAACAAACTAGTAATAGTGCATGTTTTCACTCGGGCTACATGCCTACATCTATGTATAATATATGACACAAAAATGTGTGCATGCATCAAATTTATTCTCGCTTGATTTGGTTGTTCCTCTCGCTTGTATGTTTCTTGGGACTGGATTCTATCACAATTCCCATGGGTTGTTATTTTCACAAATCACAATTCTTTCGGTAACGTATCACTCCATTGAGTAGCTGTCACAACTCCTAGGGATTGTCATTTTCACAACCCACAAGTGGTAGTGGACCACTCTATCTGATACGCTAGCTACCAGTTGGGGGTTGTAACGGGATCTTATCTCATGTTTTTATCGAAATTGACGTTTTAGTTTATATTTCTTTGTCCATCATAACGACAAGACTGCTTCTAAATTTACATATGATTGATATTCGAAACTCTAATTCATGTATTTGCTTGTGCATGATAGTGTGGCTTTGATTAAGAGTATTTAATAGGGTTATGTAAACTCTAATATTTCTTTGTCCATCATAACAACAAGACTTCTTCGAAAATTTACATATGATTGATATTCCAAACTCTAATTCAGGTATTTGCTTATGCATGATAGTGTGGCTTTGATTAAGAGTATTTAATAGGGTTAACTTTTTTGGTAATTATATTACCGTCACTACTAAGGGAATGGATCAGGTCAGTAACCTTATGGTGAGTAACCATGAGTAACCCGTCCACATCAGCATGACATCAGCATCCTCTCTCTCATGGAAAGCCTTTAATTTTTCCCTTTTTAATCTTTGACGGACGATTTCTCGCTCACTTTAAGTCGAAATTTAATTTTTTTGCACAGTTAGATCAGATTAATTGTGCTCTTCAAAATGATATCCACTTTAATATATTTTTCGAACAAAAAAGTTTGAGCCATTTTTTACCAGCCTATACCATATGATATTGACTAGTATTGAAATAAAAGCATACCTATGTTTTGAAAAACGTACCATGGTGGTATGAACAAACCAATACTGTAGGATGGTTGAATACATGATAGTAGAAGTATATTAATTTTAATTTACGACTTTTAACATTGTATACCACACAATACCACCCCGTACCAGGGTGGTATTGTATGGTATTGTGTGGTATTTTTTCTTCCTGTAATTTGTTCACCCAGAAATTTGTAGATCCAATAGATCATGATGAACTCGTCCCTTCTGTGCAAACGTTTTCAAAAACGAATTAAAAACGAAGAAGATACCATACAATACCACCCCGTACCAGGGTGGTATTGTATGGTATTGTGTGGTATTTTTTGGTCCTGTAATTTGTTCACCCAGAAATTTGTAGATCCAGTAGATCATGATGAACTCATCCCTGTTGTGCAAACGTTTTCAAAAACGAATTAAAAACGAAGAAGATACCATATGGTATGCAGTTGGTACCGAGAGGCCAGAATTCTTTTTTCCTAAAAAAATATTGAAAATTGATCTCATTTTGTAGAGCACGGTGAACTCGTTCCATCTGTGCAAAAAAAATTAAAATCCGAGTTAAAACAAAAAAGATATGAGTCAATTAAGAAAGCTAGTGAAAATAAAAATAGTCTTTAATTCTCCATCCTTAGATCTGGACTTTCTAAATGAAGGGTCCAGATTTGGTTATTGATGGGTGCACAACCCATGGTTATGCACCCTATCTTGAGCCTCACTACTAATTAACTAGCTACTAAGTGGTTTACCGAACAACAACAACAACAAAAAATCTAGAAACTTCTCCTAAATTGCTTAGT